GTGTTAGTGGTGTAAACCTGGGTCATACTCTCCAGCGTCTCATTATCAAGGGAGTTTGGCTTGCCTATTCCAGCATTGTTGATGAGGAGGTTCAGCCCAGAATCCCCCAGGTGCTCCCCAACCTTGGCTGCAGCCGCCTTGATGCTGGCAGGGTCAGCAACTTCTGCAGAGCCAACACAGGGGAGGTCAGAGCCTGTGTCCCCATGGGGGACTCTCCTCTGTTCCCCCAGAAGTGGCAGTGCCCAATGGCCCTGCAGGCACCAGCCCCTTGGCACAGCTCCCTCCCAGCACGGGGCTCCCAGGGTGTGCCCAGCCTGGGCACTCGTCAGAGGAACTGGGGCAAAGGATCTCCACCTCAGGGCACCTACCGAGCGGGATGATGATGATGTTGGGGTGCTTGGAGGCCAAATTCTGTAACTCCTGTAAGAGAGGGCACTGTGTAGGCATGGAGAGGCTGGAGGGGCTGTGCAGAGACTCAGCCTTTCCCAGGCAAAGTCCATGCCACTCCATCACTATCCCTGCACAACTTTATGTCCAACACCTGCTCCAGCTGCTACAACCCACGGGGCTCTGTGCCTTCTATACATACCATGTACCATTCTCCCCTCCACATATCCCATGCACAAATTGTCCTGTGGTGTCCCAAGCCACCCAACCTGTGCTGCAGGTTCCTGACTGTAGCTCCAGCCCCTTGCAAACACCATTCCTGATCCAGTTTCGCCCTGCCCAGCCTCACCTGTGCTCGCTGTCCCTTGGGGTCCCGACAGCCTGCAAAGATCCACTGTGGTGGGTCTGGCATCCTCAGGAAATGCTGAACGAGCCCCAGGCCGATGCCCCGGTTGGCTCCAGTCACCAGAAGGGAGCGGACATGGAACCCTGCCATGCTGCTTTGGCTGTGGCTGCACTGCTCTCGCCTGAACTCCGCTGGTGCCTTTTGCTACTTGGTTATCTCGCATGTTCCCATGAGGACTTGCATCAGCTCCTGGTTCTCGGAAATTCCCTGCATGCACCTCAATCTCTTGGCTCTGGTCCATACCCATGATCCACTTTTCCTGGTGGCTGTGGAAAGACGCAAAGGGAGCCAAGGGTCCTGCCCAGGCAGGGAATGCCCTGGGCTAGGTGTCTGGTGTGCTGCTTTATGTACCTTCCCTGCTCTACTAAATCTGAGTCTTTTGGTTTTCAGGGCCAGCACTATCCCTGTCCTTGCACTGCGACATTCTCTCCCACCACCTCCCTCCCTCTTGGGATCCCAGGCCTGTCCCTCCCCTTGCCCAAGGTCAGGCAAGCGAGGCTGGACTCGCTGATTCTGCACAGTGCAGTTTGTTGGCCTTTGTGCAATGCCGAAGCCAGAGTTGGGATGGAGCAGTCAGGACAGGTGAATGTCCCTTGAGTACTTCAAGATAGAGCAGCCAGGACAAACAAGTGTTCCTCAGCCAAGAGAACAGGCTGAGAAACCTAGAAACCCTCCAGGGTTGACCAGAGTGGCCCCTTTCCTCAGAGTTTGTTATAACAGCACCTATAACATTTAAGTGTGATAGAAGGATAATTCCTGTCCCATTCCTGGAGTGTTCATGGACAGGCTGCATTGGCTTCTGAGCAACCTGGTCTAGTGTAAGGTTTCCCTACTTGTGCAGGAGGGTTGGAACTAGATAGTCTTTAACGTCCCTTCCAGCCCAAACTATTGGTCTGTGATCTTATGATAAAATTCAGTTTTGCCCCTGGGTGTGACTTTGGTGTGGCTGAGAGCCAGTGCTGTGCCCAGGCACATGCACTGCAGGCAAACATCCAGCCCCAGGGTGGTCCAGGTACTCCCTAGCTCTTTCCTGCAGAAGAGACTTGAACCAATTGATGGATTGAACTCCCAGAGAAGCATCTGACTGATGGACTCAGGAGCTTTGGGACAGCACTGAGGATCACCGAATCATCCCCCAGGAGCTCCTGTTGCACCTAAAGTCAATGGAGAACAATGACCCTTATGTTTCCACATGTCCCCACCCTGCAGGGAGTGGGCGGATCTGGCCATCCGATGGATGATGGATGGATTGAACTTGGTGGTCTTAGGGGTCTTTTCCAATCTAAATGGTTCTCTGATTCTATGATCCCATGGCCTCCCCAGCTGACTCCTGCTGCAGCATCACCCAAACTGCACAGACCGTTTGCAACAGTGGAATGTACACACTTAACATAGTTCAGAGATGTTGCATAGTTTAAAGTAATTCATAACCACTTACATGGGATGTGATTGGGCAGGACTAAGGGGGCATAAGCTCGTGGAACCTCTCCTGCTCCAGCTGGAGATGCTGCTCCAAGGACCTTTCCAACTGGACAATGATGAGCTGTCATGTTCAGGAGATCAGACCCTCCATCCAAATGCAACCTTTCCAAATAAAGCAACTTTTGTCTGTAAGAGCAAACCCTGCCACCTTCTGTGTGTGTGGTGAGTTGACCCTGGCTGGATGCCTGGCATCCACAAAAGCCACTCTATCACTTCCCTCTGCAACTGGACATGGGAGAAAAACAAATGTAACAAAGGTTCATGAGTTGAGATAAGGTCCAGGAGAGATCACTCACCAAATACCATCACAGGCAAAACGGACTGAAACTGGGGATATTAACTGAATTTGTTAGTAACCAAATCAGAGCAGTATAATGAGAAGTAAGATGAAAATACCTTAAAAATACCTTCTCCACCACTCCCTTCTTCCCAGTTCTACCTCCTCCTGCTCGGCAGTGCAGGGAGACAGGGAATGGGGGTTATGGTCAGTTCATCACATGTGTTCCCTGCTGCTGCTCAGGGAGAAGAGTTGGAGTCCTTCCCCTGCTCCAGCACGGGGTCTCATGGGAGACAGTTCTCCATGAACTTCTCCAATGTGACTCCATCTTATGGGCAACAGTTCTCCACAAACTGCTGCAACATGGATCACTCTTCCATGGGGTGCAGTCCTTCAGGCACAGCTTGCTCCAGCTTGGGTCCTCCACAGGGTCACAAGTCCTACCGGGAAACCTGCTTCAGCGTGGGCTCTCTCCACAGGTCTGCAGGTTCTGCCAGAACCCTGCTCTAGCATGAGTTTCTCATGGGTTCACAGCCTCTTCTCAGGTATCTACCTGCTCCAGCATGGGCTCCTCCAGGGGCTGCAGGTGTATCTCTGCATTCCCACGCCCTCCATGGACCTAAGGGGCACAGCTGCCTCACCATAGGCTGCAAGAGAATCTCAGCTCCAGTGCCTGGAACACCTCCTCACCCTCCCTCTGCACTGACCTTTGTGTCTGCAGAGCTATTCCTCTCACATATTCCCACTCCACTCCTCTCTGGCTGCAATTACATCTGCACAATAACTTGTTTTCTTCTTATATATGTTATCATAGAAGTGTTACTACTGTGGCTGAAGTGTTTGGCCTTGGCCAGCAACACGTCTGTCCTGGAGCTGTCTGGCACTGACTCTGCTGGATATGGAGGAGGCTCCTAGCAGCTTCCCACACAAGCTACCCCTTAAGACATGCCCCCCACTCCCCCCAAAACCTGGCCATGCAAACAAAATACAGTGTGAAAATTATATCCATCTTGTGCCATTTCACTGCCCTCAGTGGCAGTCCAGTGATGGAACCACACCCTCTGGCAAAGGGATGAAAAGGCACTGACGGCCCCAAGTCACAGCTGAACTGGGTGAGAGGGGGAATTTGCCATCCCTTCAGCCAGAACATTTCCCAGGTTGCTTGACAGATTTGATCTAATGGCTTTAATACTTTAAGATGAGGAAAAGGACAGGAAAGGCTGTTGTGGAACGATGCTTCTTCCCATGGGCAACCATCTGGGGAGACCCTGGGATTACCTGGAGCTGGAGCCAAAACTAAAGGAGAGAACGTAAAAACAAATAGAGTTCCAGGGATGGTTTGGCATCACTGAGTGGCAAACAGTCCTAGAGAGTTGGACAAAACACAGGGAATTCTGGAATGACTGGGGTTGGGAGGGACCTGTTATTCCAACACCCTGCCATGGACAGGGTCACCTTCTCTTAGGCTCAGAGCCCCATCCAACCTGGCCTTAAACATTTCCAGGGATGGGGCAGCTTCAGCTTCTCTGGGCAACCTGTGCCAGTGACTCACCCCACTATCAGGGAAGAATTTCCTCCTCGTATCTAATCTTAACCTGCCTTTTTTTCAGTTTGAAGCCATTCCCCCTTGTTTTATCACTCCATGGCAGTGTCCAAGGTTCCTCTCCAGCTCTCCTGTAACCCCTTTAGGTTCTGGAAATGGCTCCAAGATTTCCCCAGATGCTTCTCTTCTAGAACGGGATGCGTTTGCCCAGGAAAAGCGCCGCGGCTGGGCACAGGGATAGGGCGGGGCATAAGGATGGGGATTGGGGTGAGATGGAGGGCTGCGCTGGGGATGGGGAAGGACCTGCCTTCGACCCCGCGCCGGAACTGGCGCTA